GGAATGCCCCTTCTGCATTGGCCATGAGCACGAGTGTGCTCCCGAGATCTTTCGGGTCCCTCCCGACAATTCAGATTGGAAGATCCGGGTCATCCAGAACCTGTACCCTGCTCTCAGCCGGCAAAATCCTGACTCGAACGCAGTTGTTCAGGACTCCAATGCAAACTCAATGATTCTCGAAGGCCTTGGGTTCCATGATGTGGTGATTGAGTCGCCGCTCCACTCGATTCAGCTCTGTGATCTATCGCCGCAAGATATCGGTGATGTTGTTCTTGCCTATAGGACAAGGATTTTGCAGATCATGTGCTACAATTCAATCAAATATGTCCAGGTTGCTCCTGCTTTTTGCCTTTCTCGATTCAAGTTTGAATTTGGTCTAAATTATTATTTTTCCTATTTTATGTCTAACAAATAAATCCTGGAATAGTCGATTTCTAATTAAGTTGACATTAGTTTGATCTTTCCAATATATGTGGTTTTTCTATTTGTAACTTTCCAAATATGTAATTTGGAATGGTTCGTGTGCTTGGTGGGTGACCGTGAAAGTATTAGAACTTTAAATTAGTAAAGTGCTTACTTAAAAAAATATTTCTTCTATTACCACTTAACATTAGCATGCGTTGTTGTTTGTCGGTTGTTTAGTGGTGTAAAGTCAACATTTCATTTATTGGTTGTAGCTTCGAGATTCTATCATTTTTGTCCTATATTGAGTCTCATTTTCTAGTTTTGTGTTACTAATTGCGAGCGACGAAAAATGAGGTAATTTCTCGTCTATTCAACTAGAGAATGTACAGAAATATATAGGAAAAAACTAGGCTACAAAAGGAAACTCCTAAGACCTAATCCCTATAAATCAGGGATATTAACTACCAGAATATGCATTCTTATCACACGACATATAGACAGCTATAGTACATGTTTTCTCCTTATCTACTGAGTTGTAGAATCTACACTCTTGTTCATTCCATAATTACTGTTTCTAACACTCTCCCTCAAGCTAGTGAGTAGATATTTTCCTTTCCTACCTTTCCATTACAGCCACTGCCTTTAGAAGAATTGGGAGAATCTAGAAGATTAGAAGCGGTATCGACAAATGGTGTACAAATCAGCTCATATCCAACTTCTCCTTTGTAAAATGTCTGTGTACTTCCGCATGCTTGGTGTGGTCATGTTGCACAAAATTATGTGCAATATTAGTTGATGACTTGTTATCACAATATAGCTTCATAGGTCCCCCCCCTCACAATCTTCAAATCTTCCAAAATTATTTTCAACCACAAAAGCTCAGAAACTCCTACATCATTCTACTTCTTGCTTCTCCAAGTTACAAGGTTACCACCGAGGAATGTACAATAGCCTGAAGTCGATCTTTTGTCGTCAACTGGTCTGGCATAATCTGCATCATTGTATGCTTCCAATGTCAATTGATTGCCTCTTCTAAACAAGACTCCCTTTCCTCGAGTACCTTTTAGGTAGTATAGGATTATATGGCTGCCCCAAGGTGTACTTTTGGGTTGTTTATAAATTGACACCACTACTATAACATAGGCTATGTCTAGTATTGTATGAGAGGTAGATTAGCTTGCAAACATTACTCTGATAGGATTCTCTTCTATCCATTTTTTTCTGAATAGAATTCCTTTGCTAGGAGTGACCTTGAGATACTGAAGGACTTTGTATGTAGCTTGTAAGTGTATCTCTTGACGGGCATGCATAAACTGACTTAGAACACACTGCGTAGGCGATGTCTAATCTTGTATGAGCAAGATAAATGAACTTCCCGACCAGCCTTTGATATCTTCCCTTGTCGACTTCTAGACTATTTGCAGCTTCTCCCAACTTGTGATGGTAATCAATGGGAATTTCTGAAGGCATGCATCGCATCATACCTGTTTCCTTGAGTAGGTCCAAGATATATTTTTGTTGGGAGATAAAAATCCCGGTTTTGAATGTGCAACTTTGATTCCTAGGGAATACTTGAGTCTTCCTAGGTCTTTCGTATCAAATCCCTGGATAACTGGTCTTTTAGCTTCTTGATTTCCTCAAAATCATCCCCTGTTATGACGATATCATCTATGTAGGCATTTTTTTTAATATATATTTAAGAAACAAAGATCTTTATTGATCAAGAAATAAAGAACATGGAGAGAAAAGAGGAAGGGTTTCCTCAAGCAACCCCGATCCAAAATACAAAGAAAATCAAGAAATTGAAAAAACCAAAAACCAAAAACCAAAATAGATGAAAAAAGGAGAAACTACAAAAAAGGGGCCCAGCTCCCAGCAAAATCCAAGAATACCGGCTTGCCAAATTTTATATCCATGTAAACCCATGAAACCCAATATCTAATCTTATCCCATAGGACTAAAACATCTTCCTCGCGGTCTTCAATAGACATACCAAATTGTAATGCCCCTCCCAAGCTGGTAGCTAAAAACTCTGCCAACTCAGAAGAAACGTCTTGACGAATTTGTCAAGATTTGTTGACTCGAATTATCAGGGAAATCATTCTCTGATTTCCCTCGGATTCTCAGGGAAATCATTCCCTGATTTGTCTAGTCAATGGTCGGATTCTTAGAGAAAGTTTCCTAGTTTATCGAGTCAGTGCAAGCTGTATAGGTGGCTGTCATTCCAAAGTTAATTCCTTGATTCTTTTGTAATTAAGAGTTTCCTAGTTTAGGTTGTATACCAAAACAGACAATACCCCCTGTACTCTATAAATAGTTGTAAGTTTTCCTCAATGAAATAAGATATACAATGAGAACATTTTTGTTCATGGTATCATAGCCTTACACGATTTTTTGCTGAGAAAAAAAAAACTGTCCACTGTTATTCCCTTAATCACCCAGAAAATGTCAGAAATTTCTGAAACAGGTAACAATTCCACAAATGTCTATACCACAGATTTCAACCTAACCTCTGATTCAACTCAAACCTCCCAGCCACAAACAGGTGAATATCAAAACCTGCAACCCTCCTTTAAGCTCAATGGCCGAAATTACCTAGTGTGGTCCCAACTGGTTAGAACCTTCCTTAAAGGAAAAGGCAAGTGGAGTCACTTGACAGGCCCCATATCGAAGGAGGATGATCCAAAGTTCGAGGCTTGGGATGTAGAAGACTCGTCAATCATGACATGGCTTTGGAATTCGATGCAGCCTGAGATCAGTCGCAAACTTATGTTCCTGCCCACATCAAAAGACATCTGGGACACGGTTAAGGAGACCTATTCAAAGGTTCGTGATGCAACCTTAGTCTATGAAATTAAGACAAAAATTCACTCAACCAAGCAAGGTAATCTCTCGGTCACCACTTATTACAATAAAATGAAAAATTTGTGGCTGGGTTGTAAGATGAAGTGCAGCGAAGATGTTGCAATGATGTTAAAATTTGTTGAAGGAGAAAGAGTTTATGAGTTCTTGGCTGGGTTGAACGTGGAATATGACCAAGTCCGTGTGCAAATACTTGGAAAGGATTCTCTACCAACCCTGAGTGAAGTCTTTTCCACTGCCCGAGGTGAGGAAGGAGAGGCGTCATGCTTGAAACTCCACCAAGTGAGAGCTCGGCCTTAATTGCCTCGGTTCCTACTGCTACTATCTCGGTTCCTACTGTTGTTGCTGCTGTCGCTACTGCCCCTCAGAATCAACAACTAAACACCAACCGGACAGAGAACTCCAGGTCATTCAACAAAATAACAAACAATAGAGATAGTTTGTTCTACAATTACTGCAAGAAAACGGGACATACTAAGGACATTTGTTGGAAGCTACATGGGAAACCACCCAGAAATAATTCCTAGATGAAATTTAAGCCTCAAAACTATCAAGCCAATGTTGTTCATGCAGAGGAGAAAGATGCAACTGTTGCAACTCAGGAGGTGAGTGGATTCAATCGAGAAGAAATTGAAAAACTCCGCAGTTTCCTAACAGCAATGGACAAACCGGTGGGGTCGTGCTCCATGGCCTAATCAAGTAAGTATTCTATAACCCATCCTCTAAGTGGACGTTTGGTTCATGGATTCAGAATCATGATTCAAAATTATTCTCGATTTACATGTATTTTTTGTGAGAAAATACTGTAGCGAACCACGAACCACGATTCAAATCATGGCACAAATACACCAACCAAACGCACCATTAAGTGATTCAGAGAGCAATTTTAATGGAATCTAGCTAGTAGACTTAGGTGCAACCAATCATATGACAAATTCTTCAAATCATTTTTCGTCCTATACCCCATGTCCTGGTAACCAAAAAATAAAAACAGCCGATGGAACCTTGGTGACTATTGCTAGAAAAGGGATTATAAAAACCATACCATCACTACCTTTGAAATCTGTTCTTCACGTTCCTAAACTGTCTTTTAATTTGTTGTCTATTCAAAAGCTCACATCTGACCTAAACTATTCCGTAACATTTTATCCTACACACTGTGTATTTCAGGATCGGACCACGAGGAGGATGATTGGGTGTGTTAAGAAACATGAGGGACTTTACTATCTAGGCACGAGTGATGGTGGTAGTAAAAATGGTTATATTCCTTAGTCTTACATCTTTGAAAATCAATCTACAAGAAAGGCTCAGATTTGGCTCCATCATGTTCAAATGGGTCACCCATCTTTTTCTCTGTTAAAAACTATGTTTCCTTTGTTGTTTCAGAAAATAAATGTCAATGAGTTTGATTGTGAAGTGTGTCAAATAACTAAGCACCATAGAATTTCCTATCCCTCAAATAATTCAAGATCATTTGAACCTTTCTCTCTAGTGCATACAGATGTGTGGGGACCATCTAGAATTTCAAACATTAGTGGAGCTCGTTGGTTTGTTTCCTTTATAGATGATTACTCTCGAAGTACTTGGCTTTTCCTGATGAAAAATAAATTTGATGTGAGTTTGATTTTTCCCATATTTCATAAAATGATTCTTACACAATTTGGGATTCACATTAAGTATATTCGTTTTGATAATGGGAGAGAATACTTTAATCAAGTAATGTCACCATCCCTTCAAACACATGGCATAATTTATGAGTCTTCGTGTGTTGACACCCCTGAACAAAATGGGGTTGCAGAAAGAAAAAATCGTCATCTTCTAGAGGTTACTCGCACTCTATTGTTTGAGAAAAATGTTCCTAAAATTTATTGGGGGGAAGCCGTCTTAATAGCCACATATCTCATTAATCGATTATCCAATAGAGTGCTGCAAAACAAGTCTCCCATTGATGTACTGTCAGAATCATTTCCTCATATAAAACACTCAAAACTCCCCTTATGAGTTTTTGGTTGCATTGCCTATGTTCACATTCAACAAAAAGAACTCGATCCAAGAGCCTTAAAG